AGTTAGGGATATTTAAGGTTAAGTTAGAGATAAGTTAGGGAGATTTAAGGTTAAGTTAGAGATATGTTAGGGAGATTTAAGGTTAAGTTAGAGATATGTTAGGGAGATTTAAGGTTAAGTTAAATACCATTAGTTAGGGAGATTGAAGGTTAAGTTAGAATTATGTTCGTGAGATTGAAGGTTAAGTTAGAGATAAGTTAGGGAGATTTAAGGTAAAGTTGGAGATAAGATACTGTGATCCAGTCTGATTTTCACAATTGATAAATAAATCAGATCTGGTACAGACCTGAATATAATTCAGGGGCTCTTGTGATTGTTAACTTAATGGAGTTTCAACATATATGATACACACAAAATGTCTGTATATTGTGTTTGCTTCAATAATTTGAGTTATTACTCAAGGTGATATATTCCACAGTGCTCTGGCATTACCAAACTGTAAATGTTTTGTTCATCTTAGTAAACAGCTAATGCACACGATATGATCTGTTATGCGTATTAGCGAAACGTCGGACAAGGAAAACAGCTTGTCAGAAAACTGTACAAGTTGGTAAAGACATCAGCCATTGTAGATCCGAGGTATTCAAGTCCCAGTTATTTAGTTATAGCAAGTGCAGTGTTCATTTTGATAAATACATGTACGTTGTGAAACAAAACTCTTAATATACTTATCATCAGTGAAGATTGTTTAAATTAAGTTATTAAGAAAGGAATTCAGAGACAGTGAGGATGAAAGTGTATTTATTATGATACAAAGCAGTTTAAGCTTTGCCACTAACTCAGTTGGGACAAAAAGAGACTCATTAGCTTACAAGCTAATTAACAGCCGAGTGTTTTTCATACTTTTGTATACTGTTAAGCTTGTCTTTTTCCAAGGATTCTGCTTTAGGATGAATTAATAAGCCTACGAAAAATAGATATAAAAATAAATAAATCTCTTCAACTTTTGATTAAAAGAAGAAAATTTGAGGTATGAAAAAAATGGTAATGTCATATCATCCAGTTTTGAAATAAGAATTCATGTTTTTTTCAGTAGTGGTAATCTGCATTAAAAATATATTCATATTTACAAGATCTGAAATTATTCCTTTGATGTCAAATCAATGAAAGGAAGCTCTATTCCTCACTATATAGCCATTGTGAAGTGAAATCTCAAACGTCTCAACAAGCTTTCTGATATTGCCAGTCTCCTGAATATTTTAGTTTAGGTCTTCAAAGAAGTCATGAAAATATGGCAAAAATATTCCGATATGTGGAATTTTGACAAATGGTCTGGTTTTCTCTCAAAATTTGTTTGCAACACTGAATAAATAAATAACCCATCTTCCCTCCTAAATAACATAAACCTGTCTAAATGTTTACAGAGATAAGTCCATGATTGTCAGATAGGTGTGTAAAGTGTATATTTAATGAATCATCTTTAGTTGGTATGATAAAGAAAGCTATGTACATTTTTATATGTTAATTCTGTAGGGTGTTTAGATTGTGAGATTCACAACAGATTGGCAGCCAGATCCAGCATCGGTGTCTCTCTCAGCTGTCTGTGGTGGAAATCTACGCCTGTAATTAACACCCATGTTTATTACCAGACACATGCTAATGTTTGGGAGAGACATTCATCATAATATAACTATCATAACCTCCTGGTGAAGGTGTCTTGATAAGCTGTTATAAAAGAATCTCAACGTCTTTCTTCTCTTCAAATACTTATTAGCACTGGTGAACCATCTAGTCACTTGTTACTGACTCAGCTAGAGGTATGTCACAGTGGTGAACCATCTAGTCACTTGTAACTGACTCAGCTAGAGGTATGTCACAGTGGTGAACCATCTAGTCACTTGTAACTGACTCAGCTAGAGGTATGTCACAGTGGTGAACCATCTAGTCACTTGTCACTGACTCAGCTAGAGGTATGTCACAGTGGTGAACCATCTAGTCACTTGTCACTGACTCAGCTAGAGGTATGTCACAGTGGTGAACCATCTAGCCACTTTTTAATGACTCAGCTAGAGGTATGTCACAGTGGTGAACCATCTAGTCACTTGTTACTGGCTAAGCTAGAGGTATGTCACAGTGGTGAACTATCTAGTCGCTTGTTACTGACTCAGCTAGAGGTATGTCACAGTGGTGAACCATCAAGTCACTTGTTACTGACACAGCTAGAGATATGTCACTGTGGTGAACCATCTAGTCACTTGTTACTGACTCAGCTAAAGGTATGTCACAGTGGTGAACCATCTAGTCACTTGTTACTGACTCAGCTAGAGGTATGTCACAGTGGTGAACCATCTAGTCACTTGTAACTGACTCAGCTAGAGGTATGTCACAGTGGTGAACCATCTAGTCACTTGTAACTGACTCAGCTAGATTTATGTCACAGTGGTGAACCATCTAGTCACTTGTTACTGACACAGCTAGAGGTATGTCACTGTGGTGAACCATCTAGTTACTTGTTACTGACTCAGCTAAAGGTATGTCACAGTGGTGAACCATCTAGTCACTTGTTACTGACTCAGCTAGAGGTATGTCACAGTGGTGAACCATCTAGTCACTTGTAACTGACTCAGCTAGAGGTATGTCACAGTGGTGAACCATATAGTCACTTGTCACTGACTCAGCTAGATGTATGTCACAGTGGTGAACCATCTAGTCACTTGTTACTGACTCAGCTAGAGGTTTGTCACAGTGGTGAACCATCTAGTCACTTTTAATGACTCAGCTAGAGGTATGTCACAGTGGTGAACCATCTTGTCTCTTGTATCTCCTTAATTTCTATCAATATACAATAATACCTCTGCAAATTTCTGCTTCTTCATTTGAAAAAAAAACAATGTTAGATTCACTTTTAAGGTTTCAACTCCTATAAACAATTTCATTTTCTCATGATTTGAAAACGAAGTAAAAATTTACAATTGAAATATTTCAATTTATCCATAACTTGGCTGCTTTCCAATCAAAGAGTTGTCAGTGTAAAAATATAATTGCATTTTAATTTTTTTATCAAAGAACAGTGATTGCAGATTCTCAGATCCTTCACTGTTGTTTCAATTAGCTACATTTGGTTACCAAATTTTTCAGAGAGGAGAGAAATGTGCAGCTATTTACTGCCATAGTCACAATTTACAGTTGTTACTCAAATTAAGTGTCGGGGCCCAATAGGGTTAACATGTGTCAAGAGCCCAATGGGATTGTACCAGGGGCCCAATGGGGTTTATATATGTCATGGGCCCATTGGGGTTATCACGTGCAAGGGCCAAATATGTTAACAAGTGTGAGGGACCCAAGGAGATTAAAATGTGTCAGGGGCCCAATGGGTTTAACATATATCAGGAACTCAGTTGGGTTAACCTTTGTAAGGGGTCCAATGGGGTTTAACATATGTAATGGGCCCAATTAAGTTAACATCTGTTTGGGGAACATTGTTAACATGTTTCAGAGGCCATATTGGGTGAACATGTATGTGTCGGAAGCCCATTGGGGTTGGCATAAATATAGAAGAAACATTATGAACATATCATCATTTAAAGTTACTAAGAATTATTGTACAAGAGGACATAAATAAAATGAAATATTTGAATAAATATTCAGATGTTTGGGTGTATTGAGAGTTCTTTTAGGTCACCTGAGTCAAAGGCTCATGGTACCTATTGCCATCATGATTTGTCTGTCGTCGTCCGTCGTGTGTCGTTAACTTTTCACATATTAGACTTCTTCTCAAGAACCACTGAATGGATTTTGACCAAATTTGGCACAAAGCATCCCCATGGGAAGCCGCTTCAAGTTTGCAAAGAAAAAGGGCCTGGCTCTAATAGGGGCCCCAGGAGGGGGAATAAGGGGGTAAAATTAGGTAAATCTTTAAAATCTTCTTCTCATGAACCAACAATCAGATTAAGTTCATATTTGATATTTAGGATCCTTATGGCAAGGTCTACAAAGTTTGCGAATGAAAAAAATTCGGGTTAAAAACGGCCCCACTAGGGGGCGCTCAAAAGGGTCAAAAATTCAACTGAGACCGATTTCAACAAAATTTGGTAGAAAGCATCCCTTAGTGAAGGACATATGAAATTATGTTGAAAAAAGTGATTATGTCCCCTTTGGGGCCCATAAGTGGTGTAAAAGGGGCCATATGTAAAAACCTTCTTTAAACGACTTCTTCTCAAGAACCAGTGGATGGATTTTGACCAAACTTGGCAGAAAGCATCCCCATGGGAAGCCGCTTCAAGTTTGCGAAGAAAAAGGGCATGGCCCAAATAGGGGCCCCAGGAGGGGGAAAAAGGGGAAACTTGATGATATGAATGTTCTACACAAGGTCCTGGCAAGTGTTTTAACTTTTTGGGGCGATTCAAAATCCATGATGGCCACCCTGGCCTCTGTTTGGACTTCCTCTCAAGAACCACTGGGTGGATCATGTTCAAACTTGGTACAGATGTTTTACACACGGTCCTGCACAAGTGTTGTTACATTTTTAAAATCCCCAGATTATTGACATATATTCCTCAGGTGACAGTTAAGGCCCCTTGTGCCTCTTATTGTGATAATGAGATAAATCTTGATACAATAATTGATAAATGTAATCACTTGTCTTGTTTGGTATAAGTAGAGAAACCTGAATTTTAGACCACCATCTTCAGATAAACATGAAAGATATTTCATAAAATTTAAATATTAAAAGTTAAATGTTAAATCATGCTAGGTCAAGGTCAAAACTTCAAGTTCAAGTGAGATCCAGGCTATATCTTAAAGTTGAATTTTAAGTCAAGGTCTAGGTCAAGACTTCAAGTTCAACTGTGATCCAGGCTACATCTTAAAGTTGAATTTTATGTCAAGGTCAAGGTCAAAACTCCAGGAAATTTAAGATATGTTTTTCAATGACCATTAATTTGTGTTGCAGCTATGGATGAATCAAGGTCACATTAGGAGGACAGAGTTAAACAAAATCATTTTCTTTTCAGAATTTTGTTTTTTTTTGGTGTTTAAAGTATTTTGTGTTATAATTTCAGGTTTGGATTCCGTGGGGAAGACAACACTGCTGTACCGACTCAAACTTGGGGAATTTAACCTTGTCATACCTACTATAGGTAAGAAATATAGATAACATTATAAATAATACCAGAGGTTTGTACTGTAAAATCCTATATTTTTGTGGGGCTAAATTTTCGTGGTTTTTCAGAAACGCCCTATTTTGTGGACACATGATTCTGTTGATTAATAAAGCTCTATATATCATCTGATACTAATTTTAACATTCAGTGGACCATGAATTCTTGGATTAATAAAAATAAATCCCCCATGAAGATTAAATTCTTGATAGTATCATGTTCACAAACATCTGCCTAGATTTTTAATCATCTTCATGTAAAACTGAATTCTGACACTCAATGATGAGTTTGCCCTATAATGCATAAGAACATTATCACGGTTTTAACATCAGGCAGTTGTCCATCTCTTATTTTGGCTTTATCGGCAAAAGGGCAAAAGTTCATCTGCCTCAAAAGTTTCACTGCATTATCATAAGAGAAGTCACTAAGTTTGTTTAGTTGTTGAACTCATTGCCCTGTGAACAGCCAGGATCAGTGAGAAAGCCAGAATGTCCTTGCTGTAGCCCTGGCTATCTCCCTGAACAACAGAAGGGAGGCCCTGGTAAGGTAGTCAGAATGTCCTTTCAGTAACCGTTGGCTCCCTCACTGAACAACAGAAGGGAGGCCCTGGTAAGGTAGTCAGAATGTTCTTGCTGTAGCACTGGCTCCGTCACTGAACAAGAGAAGGGGGACCCTGGTGAGGTAGTCAGAATGTCCTTGCTGTAGCCCTGACTACCTCACTGAAAAACAGAAGGGAGGCAAATGTAAGACTCCAGACAGAATCCTTGAAGATATAGGTAGACACAAACATTCTCAGGATTGTGTTAAGTTGAGTCATTACCTGTTTTAAAAATTTTGTCCTTGTATCAAAAGTGCAATTTGATCAAAATCTTACTTTTCTTGTATCATAGTCCCCGTACTTGAGGAAAACATCTGCTCTGTAATCAGATTGTTGAAAGTGTTATCACCAACATTTATGTCTGTGAGATACATTATGATACAGTTTGTACACTAGTAATAGTCTCTGGAGGTATATTTCCATTGACAGAAAAACAAAGATGGCTAGCTTTACTGATTTAAAGGTTTTTGTACCTGTATATTTGCTGTAGAATGATAAATTCTCGTGGGTCACTTTTCCACATTTCCTTGACGTTTGTTTTTGTGGATAATTATTGCTCAATAAGTTTTACTAATACTAGTTATAACAGTTTGTGGACACATAAGTTCAGTGAAAATAAACCCTGCGAAAATTAATGGTTTCACAGTAATTAAAATTGGGACAATATTTCATGTCAAATGTCTCGGGGAACTTGAGTGAAATACTTGATAAATTCAAATTATTGTGAACTTGTATGAATTCCATCTTAGCTCCTCATCTAAATCACTCTGAAATAATGTAAATTGGAACAACGTCAGGTTTGCAGGTTAACAGAAACATTTCTCCATTCCACAGTACTATCACATACATACTATATCTGGCAGGGTATCTTATCTCAGAAAATAACACCTAAGGTCAATACTGATTTCAAACATCCTGTATTTTAAGTTAATATTGTAGAAGCTATTTAAAACACTTTGTTGAACAAAATGCTTGAGCGAAAAATTTTGTGTATTTCTAAAGATATATTTAATGGTGAATGCGATATGTTTTCGACAACACGCGAAATAAGAAAACAGGAAATTGTTTGAGGGACAAATCAGTTAAAGCATTTGCAGGTAATCTATTTATTAGCTCACCTGGTCTGAAGACCCCGTAAGCTTATTAGCCATGGTATGGTGAGTGTTGTCTGTCCAGCTTCTGTTGTCTGACATCCATAAACATTTTACTAAGAATTATACTTCTTATGAGTGACTGAACAGATTTTGACCAAATTTGGTCAGAAGCATCTTTTGGGAATGGCAAACCAAGTTTGTATAAAGACAGTTCTTGGCTCAAGAGGGCCTAAGGGGCCCAAAAGTGGAAACTATCAAGTTCATTAATGTCCTTACTTTTCTATAAGTATTGTTGGATTTTGTCCAAATTTGGTCTGAAGCATGCTTGGAGGGAAAGAAATCAATCTGATATAAATGGTGGGTCTTAGCCCCCTGGATGGGAGGGGCAAAGCCCAATATTTCTCCTTCTTTAGGAATGCCTGGATTTTGCTCCAAATGGGGATGAAGCATGTTCAGATGAAGGGTAATCAATGTGTATAAATGTTGGGTCTCATACTTGTTGAGAGGGAGGAAAGAGGGCCCAATAGGGTAAATAGAGGTAGAGGGAAGAGGGCCCAATAGGGTAAATAGAGCCAATCCTTTAAAACCCTTCTTCTGCTGGAATGTCTGGACTCTGTCCCAATTTGATTTAATTATTATGAGCATTCTTTGGTGAAGGGGAATCAGTTTTGTATAATGATGGGTCTCAGCCCTCTTGGGAGAGAGGGGTGGGGTCCAAAAGGGGAAATATAGATTTTTTATTTTAAATCCTTCTGTTGTAGAAATGACAATGATTTGTCAAAAATTGCTAAGGACAGGTCCCCAAGGGGAAAAAGTCTTTAAAATCCATTTCCTATAGGTTGGATTAAGCTAAATCAGGTGTACAATACAGGCCCTTTGGGCATTTTATATTATTTGACTGATCTTACATATAGTTGAAATTTACACTGAGGGATGTATCTTACCGTGCAATATATCTTCATTCATAGTTCAACTATAGTTTAAGACGTGTGTATTATGGTACAATGAGTTGTCTGAAAGGCATGTTGACACTTACAGAGAGATACCATAACAATTTGTATATCTGCTGGGAAACTGGGACCTGTTCAGTAGTCGGGGTCATTTTGACATGGGGTCGGTCTCCTTGGGATTGCTGGTGGCTATTTCACTGAACAGTTTACAGAAGAGCATTCACGATTTACGTACATATATGCCCTCCATAGATACTGGGCAATGTGTCTTAACCTTGAATGCAACCACAACAGCACAGAACAGTTCCGTTTCTCAGCATCCTGAAAAAACACAATCCACTCTGATAAGGGAACAGATCTTCAGTCAAGCTATACAAAATCTAACATTAAACTGAATGAACCATCATGGCACCCTTCAAACGAAGTAATGGTAAATTGTGTAAGGGAGACAATCCAAACAAAACATTGTAATATTGTGAAATGCAGCATATATCCTTAAAGGGACCTACTGGTTAGATTTCATTATTTTTTACCCTGCCTCTGATTTTTGACGAGCGTTGTTATACTTAAAATAAAATTTTATTAAATTTCACAAAATTAAAAAGCTCTCTGAGAGAAATTCATAAAGATTATCAGCTTTAAACTAACGCTAGTTGATACTCACTATTGTGTCTACCATTCATCGCTCTTTAGATCACGATAGTCTAGTTCATCACGTGACCTTTTGAACCCTCACTATAACCCGCCATTTTGATATCACTTCTTACTGTGTATAATTATGTAATTAGCCAAAACTTAACGTGTAAGCCATGTTTTACTTCTTACTTTGTAAAATGACCTCTTGTTTCTTGTTTCTCTTGCGACAGAGCAAAATAAATTAATTTAAATTTATCTTAATCTAAATTGCATGCACAAAGACATTTACACTCTCTGAACGATAATGATATGAATTAGTGTTGGAGTGCTCCTATTTTATCTCAATTTTTTTTTGAGTTGATAATAAAATGGTTCTGCAAACTTTGAAATATCATAATTAACAGAAAGTACACAATTTGTAACAGATATTTAACTGTTATAATGCTTTTTATCAGTTAAGAAATGAAAATCTAACCATTTAGTCTCTTTACTGTAGTAATAGTTTCAGTTGTTATCAAAAGGATTCCAAGGGAGACAACTCGAATTAGAATCACAAGTAAATAAGTGAAACATGTGTCAATGCAATGTTTGGAGTATGTTTTAGCTAGTGAAATACAATTTATGATAGGTAACAATAGTTTTGATTGAATTGTTTTGTCTATTCCAGGATTCAATGTTGAAAGCATTCAATACAAAGATATAAACTTCACTGCCTGGGATATAGGCAGTCGAGACAAAATGGTGAGTTATTCCCCTTTGTTTCCTCTTGTTTCTCATTCCCATTTGATGCAGAATCACTGCAGTAGTTGTGATGATGGTACTGTTTGGTACGAACATGGCAACAGACTCAAACACTTTGAATGTTAACACCTGTCGTTTTGTATCAGATCATCAGTTTAGAGTGATCTTGTATGGACCTGTCTGGGACAAGATTCTTTGCTATGTGATACACACAGAAATAACAGATGTATCGTGTATCTATTTAAAGAGAAATGTTCCTCTTGACAAGACAAGTAAAGTAGCTGTATGTTCTACTGCTACATTATTTCCTCCTAATCAAAGTTTACAAGAAAAATGATGAGCCCCTCACTAGGGCTCAAACTAATGACCTCTCACTGTCTAGCTGGAGTACCACTTGACTAAGGAAATTCTCCCTAGCCAAGAAAACTAAGGGAGCCTGTACTTTCTAATTCTGTTTTACTACCATTTTCAAAAGGTTTGCAAAGATTTTTATTTTTATGGTGTTCTATGTTGTATTAAATCATGAACAATATTTAGGAAATTAGGTTTAAAAATCATGGTTTCGGTAAAACTCCTAAAATTTGAGCCATCAAAAATAACATCATTTACAATAGTTGAAAATCAACTTTACAGAGGCCACTGTTCCGCCATTACTACAAGGGAACGGAGGCCGTCGTCATAGTGATTGACAGTCATGACAAGGAACGACTGGATGAACTGAACCATGACGTCATCAAACCAGCACTTCAGGCAGAGGAACTTTCCAGTGCATGTTTTCTCTTCCTGGCCAACAAGTGCGACATTGAGCCACACATGACGTCCGAGGAAATTCAAGATCGTCTCGGACTACGACAGCTCAAACATGCCTGGAGTAGGTCGATTGAAAACTTATCCTTTGTTCTAAAATATTAAAAATATTTGTCAAATCTTTACAGACTGTTTAACAGCCCATTTATTTCATTTAAAAAATTTTAAAAACAGTTTATTAAGAAAATCCAAAATTATGGCAGGGTTTACTTGGTGATGGTGAGATGTAGTCAACTATTGTGAAAGACAAAACAATTTTTGGCAGGATCATATCTTTGTTCTTTTTAGAGGAGGGAATAAAATTAGTAAGCTATTGATTTTTTGGTAAACCTGTGAAAATTTGAACTAGTTGAGCATTATTTTACAGATAGTATATTACCTAGGGTGCATATTCCAAATCCAGAAATAACTGGCCCTCAAATTTCCAGAGATTACAAAGTATTTTACCTGGGTTACATACTCCAAATCCAGAAATGAGTACTAGTGGAGATATTTGAATGTTATAATGACCTAATGTTACATCGGTGAGTAAGTAGGGACTTTGTCATGCCCCATGATAATAGCTGTAAACCTGGAAACTAGTAAGCTAGATCTTCAGGTCCCAAGTTCAAGACATTGAAAAATGACCTCCATCATGATTTGTAGTGACCATAACATGAAGACCAGAAATGTTTCTATTGTAACATACTATTTTCAGATCTTTTCCACGTAAGTGCCTTAAGAGGGGACGGATTGACTGAGGCTTTAGACTGGTTGGCATTTCAACTTGGATCCGAAGAAATCCGGAGAAGTGTCACTCCAGATAGTGAGGACAAAGTGGACAGAACCTTGAATGATCTCCCATATTGTAGTCGGGCTTACACCGCTATTAAATGTTTCTTTTTTAGGCCGAGTCGACAAGACAAAGTGGAGGATGGACGATGAAGTGTCTACAATGATTTCCCTTGCTTCATTCGTAAATCCGTTTTATATGCCATAAAAGTGACCATGTGACATCAAAGAGGATTGTGATTGGTGGATGAATTTGGAAGTGAATTTTGATGTAACTTCTAAAGTTATATAAATATGATTGATAAACATGATGTTTTCATTGTCAGCAATGGTGATGCTCGTTTTACAGATAAAAATAGTATATTTTACACCAACTATTATTGAGGGGAGATAACTCTGTTTTATGTAAATGTTGGCGAGAGAATATTTCTGATTTTCATCGGTTGTTTACATTGATATGTATTTCATTAATATAGATCATTTCATTTTGTTTTGTTATATTTATTTTGTAAGATATTCTTTGTGTTTAATATAGATGACCATGTAGTCAGCAAACAGAGATTGTCACTAAGTATGGACGATAAAAATAAGTAGATGTTCACATAATACAGATGTTCACCCAATAGAAAAACAGGAGTCCACACAGTAGAAAGTCAGGTGTCCACACAATAGAAAGTCAGGTGTCCACACACACAATAGAAAAACAGGCGTACACACAATAGAAAAACAGGTGTTCACCCAACAGATTAAAAAGGTCTACACTCAACAGAAAAATATGTTCATTACACCTGCACTGTAGTAGTGGTCAGTTTCATTACCAAATGCTGGTGGTGGTCACTATACACAAGGGACCACCTAACACATGAGGTTGTAAAGTACAGAATACATCAAAACACATGGTCACTGTAAACAGGTTACAGTTAAACATAGATGGCAGCTATACACATGTTACAGCTAAACACATGTATAGCTGTACACAGGCAGTCACTATGCACAGGTGGTCACTATACACAGGTGGTCACTACACAAGTTACAGGTAAACACAGGTGGTCACTATACACATGTTACAGCTAAACACGTGTAACTGTAAACAGGCAGTCACTATACACAGGTGGTCACTATACACAAGTTACAGGTAAACACAGGTGGTCACTATACACAGGTTGTCACTCTACACAAGTTACAGGTAAACACAGGTGGTCACTGTACACAGGTAGCCACTACACATGTTACAGGTAAACACAGGTGATCACTATACACAGGTGGTCACTCTACACAAGTTACAGGTAAACACAGGTAGTCACTACACAAGTTACAGGTAAACACAGGTGATCACTATACACAGGTGATCACTCTACACAAGTTACAGTTAAACACAGGTGGTCACTATACACAGGTAGTCACTACACAAGTTACAGGTAAACACTGGTGGTCACTATACACAGGTGGTCACTATACACAAGTTACAGGTAAACACACAGATTATTCTGATTACCACTAAAATATACAGTCACTACATTCATTTAATAATTCAATAAAAAATCAGGTCACTTCATTTAAAAAAAGTGGTCAATATACTGAACATTGCATAATCTTGGAATAAATAAGGTGTTGTCTCCCTTTATATGTTGGACTAGAATTCAAAGAGCAAAGTCATTCTTGAAAGTGTCTCATCCTTATACAAATGGTTCAGAGATGGGTGTGTGAATGTGCTGGGTCAGTCCAGGAAGATCACAAAAAAGGTTGAAAATATGAGAAATCTGAAAGTTAAAGATTGAATTAGTGAAAAAGTGTTTGTTGAACAAATTCAAGTATTGATATGCTTCAGAGTATATAAGTTATTTATTGAAATAAAATCATACATTAGTTTGACGACTTAGTGAAGTAAGATTCTACTAAACCCTTTGATATCGAGTGAAAATTATCACACTATAATCTTCTACTAAAAACCTTTTGATGTCATGCGTTAGTGTAGTTAAGATTCTACTAAAATCTTGTGGTATAAACAAGACTAAAACACGACATATTTGTATACTTTATCGTTGTTTTTAAGGGCTGTAACCATACATGTGTATATCGTTGTCACGTGTAAACTGATACTAATAGATGTTTTAAAAACATTTAAGACTCTAGCCAAGTGTGTTTTTATTAGTTAAAGATTGTTTGTTCCAATGCTGTTTGTTTTTTGGTGAAATGTGTGTTTTATATATAGTAACTGTGATATTATGTAAACTACACAGAAATAATTATTAAATACTCTTTTATCCATCAACAGACTTAATTTTACTAATATCGTTTCAGAACTACGGTCTTATCGATCTATTTGATCTGTGTTGTAGTTTCTACTGTTCTTCGTTTCTGAGGATTATGTCCCTTGTTTTGAGTATATTTTGCCTGTAATGTGTTAGTTTAAGCTGGCGCTATAGATCAGTGAGCAGCTATTTTTGTTTTTATGTTTTTTTTCTTTTTCCTTTATTTGTGTGTATGGCTGAAGTGTTACTGAAGATATTGTTATAAATAATGGAAAATAAAAAGGTTTGTTAAAATCACTTCGTTTTATGTGATCTTTGTTGCTATCACAAATAAATGAAAAGACTATTGATGATAAGAAATTAATGTTGATCAATAATCTCAGATTTACAGCAGACCAATCGGATAAGAGTTATGAGATTTGTAGACCAATCATATCAAAGTTGTGAGATTTGTAGACCAATCAGATCAGAGCTGTGAATTTTACCAGCAGACAAATCAGATAAAAAATGTGAGTTTTACCAGTCGACAAATCAGATCAATATGTCTGAAAGTGAAATTAAACGAATTTGCAAGATCTTTGTGACCTGCTTTTGAAAATAATCTTCAATAAATTCAGCCTCGTATGAAAACAACAACAAATCAGTCGACGGAGGGACACAGTTATCTCCCCTAGGTATGCCAAAAGTCTGATGGAGGATCTTACCGCCGGACTCGACGAAGATGTGGTCAACCAGAAACTTTATGATTTTGTCCTTCGTCTGTTTCTTGATTCGGACGTATCTTTATTTATTATGAAATACGTTTGTATTTATACCGCTGTTCACGTGTCTTGGAAAAGAAAACTCTCCTAACAAGAGAACGAAGGCGTTCCTTCCGTTTAGAATGGGGTATGGTGATGTCCAGGGTAGAAAAATTCAATATTCTAATTTTTTTTCAGAGGGAGGTGTTAAATATTGGTCAAAAGCTCTCTGGAGTTCTTTAAATTCCACAGTCAGAGTCGTTATCATTTTCAAAAAGTCAATCTAAATCATTGTAATACAGAAGCATGGTTAGCCAGTCTTTGGGAAGACTGGAAAATCAGTTCCGAAAAAATTCAATCGGAAATAAATATTCACATGTCTTGATACATAAATACACAACGGAAAAGTAATTGAACTTGTCAAAAGAACATCTTTATGCAAATGGTTATAAACAGTACTTGTGGTGATACTTCAAGTAACTAAATAAATACGTACACATGTAGAACACAAAGACGAATTGATAACAAATTAATTTAATGAGAGCAACATTAATATGTATCCTTGCTACATAGTATGATGGAAACATAAGGACACAAATATAAAGTTATGGATAAAAACAATGAATACGTCCACATATTTGTTATATTCCATAGTGAATAAGTACTTACATGTATTGCTCGGAGACGAAATTGCTCAACATTGGAAAATCAATTGAATTTGTACAGTAAATTGTTTATGAAATCGGTGATAACAATTCATGTATTTAAAAGTAAAAAAAAAACTTGTTCGACTCAATAACCATTTTTATGAATATACCAGTAGATTAAACCTGCATTACTTATAAATATTAAAACTGTTATTTAAAATGAACAGCAGTAAAATCAGAATAGCACCTTGTATAAATATATGAGAATTTTCAAACAGAGTCATAATATCACATCTTAAAATATTTCCCGATACGTGATTCAGAAAAATGAAAAACGAGTGTTTTTCAGTACGGATGAAAATACCTTGTTTTAATTCTCTTCATTAATTGTATTTTTTTTTCTAAATGAAATCTACCCATAGTTGTAAAATGCTATTGTGTCAAGCTCTGATGTACAGCAGGCCAAGTTTACGGGCTTATTTCATCCACGCCAGAGACTTACGATCTTACAACTTTTCACAGTGTGCCAGAGGATCGTATCCTGTTCTGTACAGCACGGTATGCCACACCCACCCCATCAAGTAAACCCAACCCCTTACACACTTATTGGTGTGTTTTAAATTTGAAATATTGGCTTAATAGTGGAAGTTATCAATTAATTCATTATCACCGTTGAGGAAGCATTCACCAGTTAAAACAATTGTAGATAAAAGATATAAATAGTAACAATATTATTAACAAATGTAAAACCAACTCCATTAACAACTGTATATATTAATGCTTTGTTATGTAAAAAGAACAGCAGTAAAATCAGAATAGCACATTGTATATATATGTGAGTTTATATGTTTAAAGAATTCTCACAGTCATATTATCACATCTTGAAATATTTCCCGACACGTGATTCAGAAAAATAAAAAACGAGTGTGTTTTCAGTACGGATGAAAATACCTTGTTTTAATTCTCTTTTATTAATTATATTTTTTCCAAAATGAAATCTACCCATAGTTGTAAAATGCTATTGTGTCAAGCTCTGATGTACAGCAGGCCAAGTTTACGGGCTTATTTCATCCACGCCAGAGACTTACGATCTTACAACTTTTCACAGTGTGCCAGAGGATCGTATCCTGTTCTGTACAACACGGTATGCCACACCCACCCCATCAAGTAAACCCAACCCCTTACACACTTATTGGTGTGTTTTAAATTTGAAATATTGGCTTAATAGTGGAAGTTATCAATTAATTCATTATCACCGTTGAGGAAGCATTCACCAGTTAAAACAATTGTAGATAAAAGATATAAATAGTAACAATAGCATTAACAAATGTAAATCAACGCCATTAACAACTGTATATATCAATGCTTTGTTATGTAAAATAAACAGTACTAAAAATAGAACAGTCTTTAGTTGTATAAACACGATAACGAATAACGTATCTTAAAAATACAATCTTTTGGAATGAACAATTAAAATATTTGGCACAATGAAAGAAAATTTTTGTGGTTTGATGAGTTCTTGTTGAAAATGATCGAAGTAGGTAGCCGGTATTTAGAATGTACATTGTTGATATAAATCAGATTTACGTAATTTACATCAAATCCATCAAATTCCTCACGACAGTAGGTAAGCAGGGTCGTTGAGCTGGTTCGTGCCCCATGCATTGACTCACAATGTTTGCTAGTTTGTCTATCCGAAACAGAGCCATTACAAATCCCAAACTGTAAACATCAGAGGAAGCCGTGGTTGGTTCTCCTGCTCTGACTTCAGGAGCTAAGTGAGTGCATCTGGCGTTCGTTGTGGCATTGCCACCGTACCGCTTCTCAAATCCACATGATGCGTGCCCGAAGTCAATAAATCTGTAATATCAAGCATGAGAACGATATGGTTTTTATCTGAAGTTACCATGGATTGTCGAAGTGACTCACTAGAACTCTAAGTTTGCAACATTGCAACCAAATGATGTTTGGCTTAATAAGTAGCACGTACATATCTTAATGATTCAGTCTGTTGTTAGTAATATTGATAACAAATTCTACCATCATTCTGTATTACATAGACAATCATACTTAGTATGTGAACTTCTTTTGACTAAAACGAACTGATACACATATTTAAGCATAATACTAACTTTGCTTGGAATTCGGTTCCATTTAACGAATAAACAATAACATTGTCGTCTTTCAGGTCGTTCAACAGAACGTTCTTGTCATGAATGGTGTGAAGTCCTATACTGAGGCGCAATGATATCGATAGTTTCTGCCTTTCAGTTAGTGTGTTTTCCTCAATCTTCTTCCTCAATGTTATGCCTGTTCCAACCATTTCCATGGCAATAAGTAGATTTCTGGGATCTGTTGGGTCTGGCAATAACCCATACAGCTTTGGTGTAAATCTTGTTTGCGACAACAATGCCATTATCCTTGCTTCAGCAACTACTTCTACGGTTCTCTCGTCTCCATCGTGTTGTAATTTTAATGCCACTGTTTCCCCTGATGGTAGATGTGTTGCTGTGAAAACCTGAAAAATTAACATAATTCAGATATAATCATTACATTAGAGACAACTGATTTCTTTGTGATCATTTTACAATAGCACCTACATAGACATTTAATACCATATTATACTAGGTTGTCTTTGATTAACAAGTTAAGAATGTTATCTTCTAAAGGCAATGTAGCATTTCTACTCACCGAGCCGAACACTCCGGATCCCAGGATATTCATCATTCCTGTCGTGGGGTCAGTTTGAATGATATAATGTAGATTTGACAGGACATCGATTGAACAATCCACCGTTTGTATCTTCTCTCCAACAATCCGATAATTGTAATGATCCTCTTCGAATAAGAAGATTTCACCTTTTGCAATTAACAGAAAGAACACCCAACAAATGAATTAATACTTAATACTCAGAGGATTGAGCATACAAGCAAAACATTGATAGTTGATAGCACGGGTCATGTATACATCCACAGCTTTTAAACTTACCATTTTCGTTTGTTCTGTTAGGAGGAAGCGCAGCTCCCAGAAAGGCGGCTGGGGGAGGCGTGACTACCCGATAGAGGGGCCTTCTTCTTGCTACTCCCATGGGAAAGGGAGGCGGCTGGTCTTCGTTTGATTCCACCATAGCAGTTAACTGTGCCTCCAGTGACGCAAATCTACCGCTGTCCGGCCTGGTTGAAGAAGGTTCAGCGATATGCAATGGTGCACCTGCAACTGAGGCTGTAAATTCGGTGTTGATTGCCAGTCGCTGAAGTGGAGATTCAATGGTCTCGGTGATGCTTATCAGCAGCTGTTGTCCCCTGGCTGAGGTACTTGAACCAATATTCACCATTACAGAGCAAGACCAGTTTTGAGGTACAACTGGTGACATTGAAGATGATTGTAGATATATGGATTCAGTTAGAGACAAGCTTGATGACGTGATGTCTGGTACAGCTTGTGATGTAGACATAGTGGCTTCTGCAGACATTCTCCTTGCTCTACAAATCAGTGCTGGGGTCATTGTCACCTGTAAAACAGAAGGAAAACAACCCTGATTTTATTTTGTAATGTCTTAAAATGAAAAAGCAAACAGAATGTAACGCAAATTATTGTTCAACAAGGTTCGATAAGATTTCTTTTTTTAATCATTCATATGAATTAATGGAGGCATGATTCAAGGAATGAATGATACTGTCCGAACTTGCTGCAGCATTGACTAGATTTGTCGATGTTGATGATAATGATGCAAGTTGAACACCTGATAAAATAACTGGGGTTGGTGATCTTTGTTGTAGGACGGCTTGGATTGTAGGTGTTTTCACAAATTATTGTTATTTTAATATGGTTAAGAGCTGTAGACATCAGCCATTGATGAACTTTAATCACAGCTCAATTTCACTGTGATGTTTGTAGGAAGTTCCTTCAT